GCCCCCCCCCCCTCCCCCCCTCCATCCACCGCAGGGAGTTTGCCTCGGGGCTGTACGACTGGCGCGACACCTCCCGCAGCGCCATGCGCGTCGCGGTGTGGGTGAACAACTCGGACGTCGCCAGCCGCGCCGGCGGCCCGCCCGACGTCCAGCGCTGGAACCAGCCCCTGAACCTGGCCTCCAGTGCTTTCTTGAGGGCGGCTCGGGGCCCCGGCGCCTCCGCCAGCCTGACTGGGGTCAAGGACATGCCGCGCGGGTCGTCCCGCCTGTCCCTGGACTTCTCCTCCCTCCTGGGCCCGCTGTTCATGATGTGGTTCATGCAGATGCTGCTCCCCGTCAACGTCTACAGCCTGGTGCACGAAAAAGAGGAGAACCTGCGCATGATGATGAAGATGCAGGCGAGTCGGTCGCGCGGGGGCCTGGCGTGCTGGGGTGGTGGAGCGGGGGGGTGGGAGCCCCGTGGATCCTGGCGACGACCCCCAGTCCAGAACCTGTGCGTGCTGCACGCTGGTGCCACCAAGGACAAACCCTTGTGGAGGTTTGATCCCCCCATAACAACACTCCCCACGCCCAACAGGGCCTGCGGGACGGCGTGTACTTTGCGGTGCAGTACATCTGGATGGTGCTGCTGTACTGCATCTTCATGGGCGTGTTTGTGCTGGTGGGCGGGGGCATCGGCCTCAAGATCTTCACCATGAACTCCTACAGCGTCCAGGTGGGTTGCGTGGTGTTGGTCCTGGGCGAGCGTGTACAGCTGGGTCTCATCTGGCCGTGCTGGGGCCGGCCAGGCGACAGAATGATCCGTCCCTGACACTGCTGTGCCCCCGCCGGCTACACCGCTCAGCTGGCGCCCCCATCTCTCACACACGCCCCTTTCCCTCGCACCCCTGCCAGGCCGTGTTCTACCTCATCTGGGGCAACCTGCTGGCCTCCTGGTCCCTGTACTTCTCCTCGCTTTCCAGGAACGCCCGCTCCGCGGTGCTCACCTCCACCGTCATGATCATCGTGACAGGTTTCGTGGCCAACCTCGTCCTGGTGCAGGTGCCCTGGGCCCGGGTGGAAAGAGAGGAAAGGGGGGAGGCAGGGTCGTGTGGAGAGGGCGCTGAGGGGAGGCACCAAGGCTGCCATGCCCCACCGACGCTGCGGACCACCGACTCCTTCTTTCACACCTACCACACTCCCATGCACCCCCTGGGCAGTACGTGGAGCATGGGCCGGCGGTGGTGGCACGCATCCTGCAGCTCCTCCCGTCCTTTGCGCTGTTCAGAGGTCAGGGCGGGGCTGGGATGGCCCAAACTGCCGGGGCTGGGGTGCAGGAGCGGGAGGCCCAGCGCACCCAGCCCAGCCGCGCCTCAACCCCCCCCATCCCCCCACACCGATTGCCCACCACCTTGCACCTGCCGCCGCCACCGCAGGTCTGTATGAGCTGGCCCAGTACGCCTTCCTGGCGGACCGCAACGGCGGACCCGGCATGACGTGGGCCTCCCTGCGCGACCCGGACAACGGCATGCTGACCGTGTGGATTATCATGCTGGTCGAGTGGGCGGTGCTGCCCTGGGTGAGTGCAGGGCTCTTGGGAAAGACCCACGGGCCAGACTCGGAGGGCGTTTCATGGGGCCCCTGCAACATCGGCAGACTCTGGCAGGCGACAGGCCTGGCGCGCTGCAGGCCCACCGCCGCCCCCTGCACACCCCTCCCCCCACCTATCAAAGCAACACCCACACACACCTTCATCCCCCTTTGCCTCCCGCCAGGTGGCGCTGTACATCGAGGCGGTGCGGGGCACGGGGACGGGCGTGCGCAAGCACCCCTTCTTTTTCCTGGGCCTGAAATACCGGACCGAAGCCGGCCCCCGTGGCGCTGCTGGAGGCGGCGGCACAGAGGCCAACAAGTCGCCGAGGAAGGTCTGGGCCTGGGGCGGGCGCACGGCCTCGCCGCACCTCCCGGGCAAGGGCCCCGCCTTCCGGCCCGGCGCTGCCGAGGCGGGCGCGGACCTGTCCCGCAGCCAGAGCGGCATCTCCACCGCCTCCTCGTCCTGCTCCTCCACGACGGGCGCGCTGGACCGCGGCGCGCCCTCCCCCGGCGACGCGCTGGCGCACTACTACGGCTCCGAGCCCGGCGCGGCGCTGAGCCCCCAGCTGGCGCGCGGTGTCTCCTCCCTGTCCAACCCCGAGGCGCTGCAGACTCTGGCGGCCGTGCTGGCGGGCCGCATCGGGGACGGCGCACGGCGCGCGGTGGCGGAGGACGCGGGCGCCGGCAAGCCTCCGGCGCCCGTGGCAGAGGCCGCCGCGCCCCGCCCCGCCGCGCTGGAGCTGCCCATCCCGGCGGCGGAAGCCGGGGAGCAGCTGCGCCTGGATGGCGCCGACGTGGCGGCCGAGGCGGCACGCGCCGAGGCGGCCTGGGCCGACTGGCGGGGGGAGGGAAGGGGCCGCGCGCCCTCCCCGCCCCCGGCGGCCGCCGGCGAGGCGCCTGCCATCCTGCTGCACCACCTGAGCAAGGTGTACCCAGGGGCGCACGGCTGCGACCCCAAGACGGCGGTGGACAACCTGTCCCTGGCCATCTACCGGCGCGAGTGTTTCGGCCTGCTGGGGCCCAACGGCGCAGGTGCTCCTTTCTTTTTGGTGCTGCGGGTGTGAAAAGGAGGCTGGGGCTGGATCGTCGGCTGTGTAAGGGGCGTGCCTTGCGGGGCTGGGATGCGGGCTCGGTGCGCGGCATGGATACCCTGAGCTGACAGGTGCCAGCGAGCTGGCAGCCAACCCCGGCCACCTTCGTAGTCCAGCAGCTGGACACCCCATCACCTCCCCTCCGCCCCCGACCCTCAGGCAAGACGACCACCATCCGCATGATGGAGGGTTTCCTGGAACCCTCCGACGGCGAGGTCATCGTGGGTGGGCACTCCATCCGCAACGAGATGGACACGGTGTACGGCCTGACAGGCGCCTGCCCCCAGCACGACCTGCTCTGGTCGGGGCTGACCGCGCGGGAGCACCTCATGTTTTACGGCAGGCTGAAGAACCTGGGGGGGAAAGCGCTGACCAGTGCCGTGGCCGAAGGCCTGGCCTCTGTCAACCTGACGGCGGTGGCGGACGACCTCGCAGGGAGCTACAGGTGAAGATGGAAGGAGAGGGGGGGAAGTTGGGGGGGGCGGGCGGGGATCGTACATGCACTGTGGTGCCCTGGCGACGGCTA